GGGAGCCGCTGCCGGAGTTATTGCCCGACCTGTTGGCGCTACTACGACGGCTGTATCTGGGTATTTATTATAAGAAGTAAAAAATGGCCGCTTCTAGTCAAGTTCCATTAAAATCGGTAAACGACTGCCCGAAGAAACCAGTCGCGCACGAATATGACAACACGAAATTGAAAAAAAATAAAAGGTGGTCCAAAAAGCTAGAGCCCTTTGCCATGCATCGTGAGGCCAGCGAGCGGTTACCGTGCGGTTCTAGGCCGAAACACCGACCTACAAATATTACCTCAAAATTTTTAATGCGCAATGTCCATAATGGCTAGAATCGTGTAACAAAGGCAGCTGTTTTTTATTCCATTCTTGTCGTTGCATTTTACAATTATATTAAAAACTTAAAACTAAATAACAACATTCCGGTTATTAATAATCCTCAATTTCATATACTTTTTTTTAACTTAAATACACAATAAACCGTATAAAACGTATTTTCAGAGGAACAATGTTATATTCAAGAAAACAATAATTTAAAAACAAAATTTAAAGAAGGATGTAATTCGGAGAATTTGAAAGAAAATGAGCAGCTATCGAAACGTCTCGAAGACGAAATCGAGTGGCTGCGGCGCGAGCCTCCCGCTCCAGAACTGGTGAGTGCAGACCTCAGAGGGCACGTGGCTCCATGTCGCCGCTCGCCGCTCGCCCCACGCACAGCGCACCTCGAGCCTCGCCCAGCACCCGGCCCCTGCACACCTAACGCCGCGAACCCAACGCTGACTAGAGCCATTTTCATTTTTGTACTATTATGATATTATCGGTGTTTCATACTTCCTAACCTTGTGTCCTGTCCTTGTGGACTACGAACCACAATTATGCAATAGCAGTTTGTCATTAATGAACTATTTTATCTTTTTCTATCCATTTGCTAAGATTGTTTTTGTTAAATTTCCAACTTGGTTGTTCGTGTGGTGTCCGCCCGGTGGGCTCGTGGCGGGCTCGTTGCGGGTTGGGCAGGAGGCGCGCGCGCCGCACGCTCTGCGCTGCCCGCTGACGCACGCGCTGCTCCGAGAGCCGGTGCGCGCCGCCGACGGCTACACCTACGAACGTGCAAACATACTGGATTATTTCTTTGCCAATGGTAAGTGCAAGGTGGTTAGTTAGAGAGGTGTTTCACGATCGAGCCAAGTGGAATCCGTGGACTCTGCCTACCCCACTGGGTTACGGCCTTGAGTGTTTTCTGTTGGGTAGTGGATTGTAATTATCTATACTAATATTATAAACAGGAAGATTTGTATTTTTTTATGTATTTGACTCATGCAAAAGTACTGGGCTGATTTTAAAAATTCTTTCACCATCAGGAAGGTAATTTATCTGTGAGTAACATAGGCTATATTTCATTATTAATAATGTTAAGGATATATTAATAAACAGCTTGTTTCTGGACGCCGGCGTTAAAAATTCAATAAACTTTAACAGTTAGAGGTATATAAAATTGATGTATTAAAGAATTGTAGATCTCAAAAAGTTCTACAGAAAAGTCAGCGATAGCATATATCTATTTTTAACGGTTTTCTTACAATAACCACTTTTTTGTTACAAAATGAAAAACGGTACGCTATTTACTGCGTTCTTTTATTGGTTTCAATATTTTTTTTTTGTGTAGGGTGGTTTCAATATTAATCCTTATCCAAATAAATGCGTTTGTTATCAGGAGAATTTATTGTATAATAAAATCAATCAGAGTAACCTAAAAATCAGCGCACAAACTAGCGGGCTTAGGAATTTGGACTCTTGCATCGGTAGATTGCTGTTATTACGTAGATTAGTACTGAGTTAATACTTTTGGTAATAGGTGGAAAAAAGGGGCGAACGTAAGCTTTGAACTTTCAAATTTCACGCGGACAAAGTCGCGGGCAACACCTAGTATTTTAATAAAATATTATTCATATAACATAAGATTTGATCTTTTAAACTCTACGCGGAAGAAGTACATATTTCATGCAATTTTATTATTATGAATGTAAAAAAGCGGCGTGTAATAGAAGCGGCTGTGTCGCCGCTGACGGGCCGCCGGCTGC